ACGAAAACACCCCACCCCCTCAAATTAACAATTAAAAAAAGAAAAAAAGAAAAAAAAGAAAAAAGAAAGGGGGCTGTGGTTAATGATGGGGTTAGTGTGGGGAGGAGCACACAGGGAAGGGGCGCCAATATGGGGACACAGAAAGGGCTGGTTGATTTATCACTGAAGGCGGGAGCAAGGGAGGAAAGACAGCTAATTAAGGCATTTAAACGAGGGGTAGGGTTTAGGGTTCAACAGAATTCAAAGGAGGACGGTGAGCAGTTTGGATCAAGGGGAACGCAGCAAATAAGGGCGGGACGGGGGCGGGTGAAAGCACGGGCAAACAGCAGCATGGGAGGAACTCTTTCTAGGCATAATAGTCATATCTGGCAGAACTGCGATAGTAGGTCTGAGAGGGAACAGTGACTCATGGCAAGCTGACAGTCAATCCTCCACCCAAAGTGGAGCAATCAATGCTGTTCAGGGATCCTCCGGCCGGACGGGAGGAAGCGTGAATCGTGTTGCTGTGATGTGCTATATTTTGACTTGCCGGTGGAATAGGAACCGGACTGTTGCTCCCCAGAATGGAAGGAGTCAGGACCATAAGGCCCTTTTAAAAAAAAAAAAAAAAAAAAAAAAACAATTCCGATCCAAAACTCCTTGGACTTGGAGCACCTACATGACGAGATGAAGATCGCACACATGACCATCCACGCCTGCAGGTACATGGAGCACCTGCATGATGAGGTGAACATTATGCACTTGGGCATCTGTACAACACGTTGCATTGTGTGATGAGGGTACTTCTGTAATATTGAATTTTGAGCAGCCTGATTCTACTTCTCTCCCATATGCCCCCCACCCACATCCCCCTTCCCCCCGCCGCATAATTATGTACAATCCGGCGCATTGCCAAAAAGACACACGGTTAGCGATGTTAGTGCAAACAATCACAGATATATCAATATGCACTGTGCATTGCCAAAACCAAGAAGGTCGAACCTCTTTCGGAGTCTTTCCATTTCAGGGAAGAAAAGTTAAGAGCACTGTTCCATGGAATAATCAGTACGCTTAGAACCGCCTCTGCCGCACCACCCCCCCCCCAAAAAAAGAAAAAAGAAAAAAAAAGGAAAAAATCAGACAAAGGAGTTACAGGACCTGTCAGAACAGCCGGTTTTGAAACAGGCTACTCATTCAGACCTCCCCCCTTTCTCTGAATCTTGGTGCAGATACGGTCAGATTCCTTGAGCACAGTGAAGCAGTCAAGATTTCTGGTCGTGGGCCAGCGGGGAAGGGGAGGCAGCAGGCTGTGTCATCCAACTTTCACAAACTCGTCAGGAGGTCGAACGGCGACAGTCTGTCAGTATGCACTGTGCACTTTGACTGCTAGATAAGAACTCACCACGTAACCCACAGTCAAAAAATACCCCTCGGAAACGTGGTCGACTGTACTCACAGTTCGAGTTAGCGATACCCCCTCGACGACTGGTCCGCGTTACTCTCACCAAGCCCGC